CCCCCCCCCCCCCCCAATGAACATTGTTGTTAATGTGATCTGTGTTGCTGTAACAGTGACCATCATTTTACTGTTATTGTCCATTTTTGTAATTATAACTATTTATTTCCCCAAAGATAAATTAAACCCTATAAATTATTGCAGCCCGAGTTGTACAGGCTAAGTTTAACCAAGGTTCCCTTCCTCCACACACAACTACCCCCCTTCCCCCGCCGGGGGCTTCCCAGAAGAAGAAATCAAAGACCATGACTTTGAACTCTGGCTGGGGTAATTAAACCCAGGTTAAAACTCAGGATTTCAGCCCGAGTTGTATAGCTCAAGTTCAACCAAAGAGGATTCAGTTCAAATTTGAACTCGGGTTGAATTTAGGTTGAAGATTTTACAAATTGAGCTTAGGTCGATCAATCAACCCACTGAGTTGCACACTACTCGTCACTAATAGAACTCCCTCCTCCTCAAGTCCGCCATTGTTGAAAACTGTCAGTATTCATTCACATTGAAGAGTAAAACACTGTTTTCCATAAGAAACAGAAAACCAGAGAGAGAGAAATTTATGGAATCACTAACCAAATACCACAGATACCACAACTGAAACCGAAATATCGAGTACAGATACTATTACAAATCCAAAGATTGAGCCGAAACTTTACTGGGAACAACGATCGCAGCAGTGGCGACAATAACAATGATACAGGGTTAGTTTCTTGGTCTTGGGGTTACATGGAACACCAAGTAAAGATACAAGATACAGAACAAGACGTTAATACTTGGCTATTGACATAGAAACAAACTATGACAATTGCAAAGACACTGCCCAAAAAAACCGGCTCAGAAGACAAAGCACTGCTTTAACAGGACACACCGAAGCAACAATTTTACTTCCAGAGCTTAACAATCTTGTCGTGACTAGCTGAAGCAACCAAGCCCGTTATTGTTGATACAGACAAGGCAGCAATAAGTCCGTCATGTGCTGAAAGAGTCATTGTCTTGTTCTCAATCATATTCCAAAGCTCCAGAGACTGTAATAAATGTGCAAAGTAGATCAGAAATAGGATAACCAATGATTATGAAAGGATTCCATTGAGGAGGATATATTGTTCTACACAGTTAGTAATCTTGGTCAAGTGACATGGACACCAAACAGCAAAATTTGCAACCATACCAATTTAACAAAGCGACATTTTAAACAAGAAATTACCCAACCTGCGGGAAATAACACATCAATACACGTATATATATACACATGCAGAAAGCACGCAAACACCTGATGCATATCTTAAACATGTGACTTTGTTTTGGTAAGATATCATTCCTTGGGCTTTTAATAGACCAACAGACAATCAAAGATATCATTCCTTGGGCTTTTAATAGACCAACAGACAATCAAAGATATCATTCCTTGGGCTTTTAATAGACCAACAGACAATCAAAGATATCATTCCTTGGGCTTTTAATAGACCAACAGACAATCAAAGATATCATTCCTTGGGCTTTTAATAGACCAACAGACAATCAAAGATATCATTCCTTGGGCTTTTAATAGACCAACAGACAATCAAAGATATCATTCCTTGGGCTTTTAATAGACCAACAGACAATCAAAGATATCATTCCTTGGGCTTTTAATAGACCAACAGACAATCAAAGATATCATTCCTTGGGCTTTTAATAGACCAACAGACAATCAAAGATATCATTCCTTGGGCTTTTAATAGACCAACAGACAATCAAAGATATCATTCCTTGGGCTTTTAATAGACCAACAGACAATCAAACAGAACGTAAAAAATGGTCAAAGGAAAAATGGAAATTCCCTTTGAGGAAATTTCTTCGTCCTTTTTTTTTTCAACTGGTAGTCTTATCAGATTTCAATTAAGACAATTGGGTCCTCTTTTTAAGCACAATTTCAAACAAGGGCTAACTTTAATATATTCCTTCGTTGCCCTTTAATTTTGTTACAAAATGTTTGGAATTCATGTAATGAGAGCATTCTGAAGGGAAAATTGGAGCCAACAGGCATGCGAGAAGAAAATTAATTTCATTTGCAGCAAGTATCCAAAAGAAACATATGTCCTCAATTGAAAAAAAACTGAGATATTGTGATGTTTGCTTTTGGGAAGACATTCGGATTTGAGAGTCATCTCTTGCTTTATTGTTTCCAAGATTATTTAGACTGTTAGGTTCTCATTATAGCCCAGTGGCTAATTTGTTTTGTCCTTCTTCTTCGTCTTTTGAGTGGGGAAAATTTATATTTTTTTCATAATCTAAATGATCGAGATATCTGGAGTGTTCTTCACTTCTTTCCTTGTGGGATTTGGTCTCATTGAATTCCTTGGCTAGTGATAGAAGAATTTGGCCTCTTGATTCTTCCGAAAATTTTTCTTTTTGTATTCTTATTTTGAATACTTGATAGTATTGTTACATTTGAGCCCCATTCATTAATTTGGGAAGTAAAGAGTGCTTGTTAAAGTGCAGGTGCTTTCTTGCATCATAGCTCATGGTAAGGTGAATACTTGTGGTTTGTTACAAAAGTGAAGGCCTAACACTTTGGTGTGTTTTGTGCAAGCAAAGGTTGTGAAAGTATTAATAATTTGTTCCTTCATTGCCCCATTGTCACTTTCTTATAGCATAAACTTTTAGGGAAATGGATTTAGCATGGGTCACACCACGTTATTGTGGTGTTCTTTTGGTGATGCATTTTGAAAAATGGTAAAAAAATTTAACTTTTGGGCGAATTGCACTTTATACGTTCTCTAGTCAAATTGTTCTTCTCTTATATGTTGATGATAAGATTGTTACTGGGGATGATCATGAAGTTATCTCAATTTTGAAAGCTCATGTACAACAACAGTTTAAGATGAAGGATCGTAGTCTCTTTCGCAATTTTCTAGACATTGAAGTGACTTCATCACCTAAGGATTATCTTCTTTCTCAATCAAAGTATGCAGGTAATGTTATACGTAGGGCACAATTAACAGATTCTTGGACGGTTGAGACTCCTCTTGAACTTAATACTTAATGTGCATTGCACCTCTACTTATAGTGTCCTTTTAGCTAATCCTATTCCGTATCAGATTCTAGCAGCTAGTTGAGTCTATCTCACCATTACATGACTTGATATTGTTTATGTTGTTCATGTTGTGAGTCAATTTGTTTCTTCTTCCACCACAATTCACTAGGTTACAGTTCTCCGAATTTTATGTTATCTTTGGGATACGTTATATTAAAATTTGTTGTTCTCTTCCGCATCTTGCTTGCTTTGGAGAGGCAAGAAACAGACTGTCATTACTCGTTTCATTGTTAAGACTGAATATCGTGCTATTATTACTACTACATCATATATAGTTTAGTTGAGATGGTTACTTGCCAAATTTAAGAGTTGCATTTTTGGCTCCANCATTACTCGTTTCATTGTTAAGACTGAATATCGTGCTATTATTACCACTACATCAGATATAGTTTAGTTGAGATGGTTACTTGCCAAATTTAAGAGTTGCATTTTTGGCTCCAACTTTTATGTATTGTAACAATAAGCGTGTCATTCAAACTGCACATAATTCTATATTCCATGAGTGGACCAAGCATATTGAGATCGATTGCCATTTTGTGCACCACGATCTTTAGCTTAAGACTATTTCATTGCATTTTGTTTCTTCTACTATGCATATTGACCTACTTTTTCACAAAGTGTCATACTACGATCCATTTTTATTTATTTCTTGACAAACTCTCGATACTTTTTATTGTCACATCATGAGTTTGGGAGAGAATGCTAAGATAGTATTTATATTTATTTATAATTAGAAGTATTTTAGTCTGTCTCTTGTAATAAGGTTTTGTATTTAGTCTTTCTCTTGTAATAAGGTTTTATATATAGTCTCTTGTACCTAGTTTTTATACTTAATGGAATCTTTGGAGAGTTGTGTATGGATTTTTTTTTTCTCCTTCTCTCTTCTATAGCTTGATCTATTTTTCAAAATTAATGAAATGCCTTCAACGCTTCCTCAATTACTTTTGAAAGAAAGCTTCCACCACATAAAACTATCTGTAGCAACTAGCAAACGTGATAATGCTCAAGCAAACGAATATTCATAAAAGTAAACCAATATTATATGGACTTATGTAGCCTGCTCAAAGAAGTTCTGCACAAACCAATCCATAAATGAAAAGCATGTAACCTCTAAAAACCAGAAACGACTTGCCTGGTAACAGCCAATGACCAGCAATGAAGAATATGTAGGATGGAAAACACAGGAATGGAATTTGTTCCCATTACAACTAAGCTCGTGAACACAATCCCCTTCACTCCCTGATCCCATCGTCCAGACTCTAACAGAGTCCTCACTGACAGATGCCAGGAACTCACCAGAAGGATCCCAGCAAACAGAATGAACTGGCTTTGTATGACCCTGCAATTACAAACCCAAAATCCAAAGTCAGGTATGCCACACTAGTGGAGAACACCTAATAGATCGAAGGTGTCTCTTCTTGGTTTTCCATGTCCTAAAGGGAAGGTTTGTGAGTCGAATAAGTATTTTCATGGCTTGAAGCAATCTCTTGGAGCTTGGTTTGAAAGATTTATTGAGTTATGCAAAAACATAGTCAGAAGCAATGTCAAGCTGATCGCACATAAAAAATAGACACAGAAAATTAATGTGTAATGAAGAGGTGAAAGCTTTGAAAATAGTCCTGGCAACAAAGAAAGATCTTAGGCATGATCCCCTATTAAGGTATTTGAGAAAAAAGCCTTGCTCAAAATATTTCCTTTGAATATAAGTTGCAAAATCAAATCCTCATGAGGAACTCCTTTTTATGTTTTCTTTCTTCATGTTATCTTTTCCCCCCTCTTTGCTGGGCATGCATATGTAGCAGAAGCTATGTAATGTTTTTCCTTCTTCATGCTATTTTTTTACCTCTCCTTTTTGTATCACTTAATATAATACCAATAACTACATTTTGCAACCGTTCTTTGGAGACGTAATAGTCATAAGCCAACCTGTAATGAATGCTGACAAGCTTGAGTCTCCACATCCAGTATGGATACAATATTATCTGCAGCTGCAGCAAGATATCTTCCAAGACGTGGTTGAAATCTCATCTGACTCGTGCCACCCTTAATGCGAACAAAGGAAATAAGACCCAATGGAACCAACCACCTGAAAAATTGCTAAAAAAAATACTATAACAATAATAATTAATCTTCCCTATAGTCCTTTTTTTACCTTGAACACTCCTGCACAGTTACCGTCGTTAATACTCCAGTATCTTATTTCACCATCTCCATCACAAGAGCAGATAAGATCATCTTTATTCGGATGGATGTCAAGTGACATTACAGTTGCACGATGCCCCGTGAAGGTACGAAGCGAANCTGCACAGTTACCGTCGTTAATACTCCAGTATCTTATTTCACCATCTCCATCACAAGAGCAGATAAGATCATCTTTATTTGGATGGATGTCAAGTGACATTACAGTTGCACGATGCCCCGTGAAGGTACGAAGCGAATAGCCAGGCTGTGATTTGAGTCATCCATAAAGTTAAGAGAACGTGTTTAGAAAAAGAGCAATGCTATTGGGTCATAATTTGATGACATACTTTGGGGAATTAATGATTGTGGTCATTGGATTGTCAATGGGTCCCAGCATTGAATGTACTCCACTATCAATCCAATGGTTACAATGCATTAAGTCCCCAAATTATGTTCCAATAGCATTAGTGTGAGAAAAATTGGGGTACCATCAGAAATAAAGAAAACNGGGTCCCAGCATTGAATGTACTCCACTATCAATCCAATGGTTACAATGCATTAAGTCCCCAAATCATGTTCCAATAGCATTAGTGTGAGAAAAATTGGGGTACCATCAGAAATAAAGAAAACCAAACAACCAAAACAAAAACAAATCTCTTTATCCAAAATCCTATATGAAGCCTAAAGAAGTAAGCAAACAGAATAGGGAAATCAAATTACTCCGATGTTTGCATGTATACAATCAATATCAGACAGAAAATATTATATCGACACTCATGTGGTTCAATATCAATTTATGGAGAACAGGGCAAGTCCCACACATCTATTAAGCAAGGGCACATAGATAGAACGTGTCATAATGGTATTAATTGTTTGCTAGTAACATGTACTGTGCATGGTGATGCAGGGAGCATGAATACATGAAACTGGATTAACACAACAATCTTAGGTCTGTTAATAATCCCCGCCAATGCCAGGCAAAAAGCTCTTCAAAAGATTTGTAGATTCCTAGAGTACCAAAGCAACTGGGTACAAGAGAGAACAATTTCTGAGAAGAATTTTATTCAAAATACCAAGGCAGTTCCTCAAGATGTCATTTTGTCTTCATTGTGTTCACATCTAGGCATCAACACTGATTATTGATGATCATGATATAAATATTTTAGATTTCAATTTAACAAAAACACAATATTTCAGATTTCATGCAAAAGTTGTAGAATATTTGTTTTGCTTACCATAAATTGATGTTTCTCTTATATAGAAAAAATTATTTGAGAAAGAAATGTTCTTTCTGCCTTGTCCATGTCCTACTTTTTTGAGGTTTTGCATTCCATCTCATATTGGTCTCCATTGTTTATTTCCATGCTTCAAATGTCAAGGCTGGTGTCTGCTTGGTGAAACCACCATAGGAATTGGAAGTAGCTGTGTATCTCATAAGATAATGAAATGATAGCTGAAAACAGTGGATGGTGTGCTCTATGTTTGTTGATTGACTAATTTGGACAATGCTCGAAAATCAGTTCTGATGGATTGTACATTTTACTCATAACGAACAGGGCTCTGATTTCACCTTCTTGAATGATACAGCAACAAAACACATCAAGAAACACCCTAAACCCCAAATAAATATTTGCATTTCTTCCTTATTTTTCTCTTTGTAATGACAAATTGAATCTCAAATTTTTGCACTAGAAGGCAGGAATCAGAGAGTAAAGGGCACCTAATTCTATTCCGTCCAGTAGATCAGCATCCAAGAAGAAAAGAGAATGAATATAAACAAATCTTACCACAATATCATGTAAATAAAACGGGTGCAGACAACAAAAAAGTGGCCACTGACACGTCAACAACATAAAGATGTAAGAGGGTCAAATGACTGCATAAATGATAATAAAGAAGACTGTTTTAGAAAGAAAATGAAAGTAAAATATTCTAAGAAAAACCAAGAATATCACAATGAGTGGTGAAGTGAAGAAGTTGTTTACTAACATGATCAGCGTCCCAAACCCTGACAGTTTTGTCAAACGAGGATGTTGCAAGACGTGGAATGCTGGGACTGAATCGAATGTCAGTAATTAACGATGAATGTTCCTCTAGTGTAGATTTTGCCTTCAAAGTATCCGCAGACCATAACACAGCCTACATCACAAGTTCAATAGGAAAAAAAAAAACCATTACCATTTGGAGATTCATCATTCAATGCATACATTTTTTTGTTAACATGTATTTCTCAATTGTTTACAACATTCCATCCATTTTCTTGGTGCTTACCTTTTTATCATGGCCACCAGTAGCAAGAAGTTTTCCATCTGATGAGAAATGGCAACAAACAACTTTGTTTGCACTAGCGCGAACGGAATTTACTTCCGTAAATGTGAACCCTAAAATTAATAGCAGAAAAGCACCACCTCAGAACATTTTAACAGATTAAAACAAAGAATTTATGATAATATATAGATATTTATGATTACATTGGTTCTTCAGTCTCATTTACTGCAGGTCAAAGTCCTGCGATGCTTAGGCCCATATGGTACAGATTTACTAGATGGAACCAGGCAGGGAATGGCAACAAATAATTTAAACTAAAAAAAAGTACAATTTATTGGTAATTTTAAAAAAAATGCATAATGTTTTGTTCTGTGTAGATAAATAGAAATCAAGGTGCCTGCATTACACACACACTAAAAAAAAAGAATACAAATTACATGAAAACATCAAATAGAGAGGAGCAATCCCCCTTTTTTGAAAGATGAAGTAAAAACTGTAATGCATTATGCATGTGCAGAGATAAATCTACACATTATGTATATTTCAATATTTAAAATTTTTAATACTCAAGGACACCAGATATGAGTATGAAGCGAAGGCATTAACATATAGAGACATTACCAATACAATGTGTATGTTTAATTTTTGAAGTAATTTGACAAATAAAAGAAGCAGTATGTTCAAAAAAGAAGCAAACTTGAGAACAATCACAAACAATTCAAGAAGTGGGAAAAGTGAAGTATAAAAAAGAAGAAATAAATGAAAAATTAATAGCAGGATAGTCTTTGAATGCATCAAAAAATTATGGTGCAACACTACACAATTTGAATAAATTTGCGACACAGTATTACATGCAGCATAAACAGATATAAAATCTGATATTAACTCCAATGAAAATTATAGAATTTGGAAGAATTGATTCCTATGTGCAAGCCAAGTAGCAATTTGCTCACCTTTGCTAACATCCATACAACGACCAACAGTATCCCTTGGGTCTGTGTCATCATGAGATAAAAATGACTCAACATTATCATCAAGAGATCCATCATCCACAAAACGATCCATGTCAGCCTGCACAAGATCTTTGTCATCCCACTGCCAAAATGAAACGCCGATGAGAATTCATGCATCTAGACAAAAGTTTTATCCACAGATACAATAAAATAGAACTAAGCTTACCAATTGATTAGAGGGAGAAGTAAGAGTGCCAGCCCCATCAGTGCCAAACAATATCAAAGGCTTTGAAGAACTACCACTATGTGGCATGGAGATGACATCTCCGGGTGTATGAGTTGACGGTGTGGAGGGTGCTGAACTTGGAGAGGGTCCTGCGGTATTTGCAGTTCCTGTGCTATTTGCAGGTCCTGAAGATGACACAGGCTGCTTTCTCTTTCTCCCTGTCTGGTTTTTTGAAGCCTTGAAATGCACGAAAGACCATGTTAGGAATCATCCATCATGCATAAAAAAGCCATGGAGTTTATATTACCCACCATCCTCAGCTCAGATATATTACTGCCTAAATGCCTTAAGGTCTAGTTGTCAACACCTTGCATTTTCTTCAATATATTAGTTTGGGAAATATTATTTTATTGGTTCAAATATTGTTTATCAATATAATATTTCATTAAAATAAAACAAAAAATTTTGGAAAATAGGCACAAAAATGGGAATTTATGTGGTCAACTAGTCAACCCTGAATGGCACAAATGTTCTGTTCTCTTCTAATAGAAAGGAACCAGCAAGAGGTCCCTGTCCATTATTGATAAACATAGACACTGATGACTAATCAGAACAAGGCCCACCTTCATGGGAGGTCAATAAAATTTTGCCTAGCCTTCTTAGTACCAAAGGATTTTGAAATCATGTCGTTCAGATTCAGAAATTATTGTTGTTCAACAACAAATCAAATAGTGGAAAACGTAGATCAAGCAAAAATGAGCGACTCGGTAAGATCAATATGCACTTAAGGAAGTTCGAAGCATATGCCCACTCCTAAATAACTGATTATCTGCACTAGGGATTATACAGGAACTTCTTCAGATTCCGAAGAGGGAGATCCAGGGACGTGAGCAAGGCAAAAAGGTTGAATACAATTGACCATTGGTGTCTAATCCCAGTCAACTCACAGGATTATTGAATTATTTTCGTTTTATTAGATTCTTTTTCCGGGGTGGGGAAGATAAGAAACTCAATACCTAACCAACTGAAGTAATATAGTCAACCCTTGTGGTCACATGAAAACTCCAAAAACAAATAAATCTGATTCCCCTACTAGGGAAAACGAGGTACAAGAATTTCAGAACAGATGAAGTACGATAGCTATATCTTTTTCCTAATCAGCTAGAGTGAATTAGCACTCAAGAAAGTGTTGAAAGAGATCGAAAACAGACAGACAAACAAAACACAGTTTTTCCTCATAAATAACCAGAAAAGGACAGACCTGATCATTTCCTCGAAAGGAATTTGAGACACTTCCATCCCCAGTGACACTGCTAGCACCCACGATTTTATCATGCTGAATACTGTGATTTGAATTCTGAGGTTGCTGACCTGAAAGGGAATGCTGCTGAAGGTGCTGCTGCTGTTGATTACTGTTCTGTAACTGTGCCATTTTTAACTACACACAAAAAAAAAACTTCCAGGAATGGATGAGTTCCCGAGGCCATGTTGCATCTATAGAAACACATGACAAAACCTAACAAAGAAAATCTAGAATGCAAACTTCAAGTGCATACACATGGGTGATCAACAGGTAAGGAAAAGCCACCTTGAATATCATATCTGGATCTCCACGTGGCAAAACAGGGCAACCAGCTTGCAAAGGTGATCCAACATTTGGAACTACATCACCAACGGAATTTGAAAGGCCATCCTTCCCTAAACTCAGGCTTCGATTATTCATAAGCATTCTTAGCCTTCTGCTTTCTACATCACCGGCAGATGGTGATGTCATATTTTGCTGTGCTAACATAAGTTGTTGCTGGTGCTGTGGTGTTAGCATCTGAAGTGGATGAAAGGGCTGAGGACCTTGCATAAATGACTTTTGCTGCTGGAGAAGCCCAGAACGAAGCTGATCTAGACCCTAGGGAATAAGGCAAAGGATTAAACAGCGGGGAAAATAAATAAACAGGTGGGAAAATCCAATTGCAGTGCAACATACACATTCAAAGCAAGAAAATAAAAATCGGCAATTCCAAATTTTTATAATGCTTCACAGTGGAGAAAGGAAGACAACTACTTACTTCAGATGCAATAAAAAGGCCCAGCCACCAGTCAAGTAACCTCTCATATGCTATTAACAATAAATGCAACTGAGAAGTAACACGGAGAAACAAATGCTTGGGGTGCCAGTTAATATGAGAAACAATATCAGTGAAATGGCAAGTTTATAGAAGATATTAAGAAGAGGTTATCATTACATAGTTGAGATAACCATTCCTAGTCTTCCCACTCAATGAACAGCCAAATTTAACAGGCCTTTGTTGTTAAGAAGCTGATCTTCAAATAGAAACTACCACTATTCTTCAAATATAATCTTGTCAAAATTCTTTTGCAGTACAAGACTAATGTGGGCAGAATCTAATTTGACAATGTAGCCAACACACAAAAGCAGGGTTAACTGAAAAAAAGTAAAGCAGTCAATGTATAGCAACCATTCTACTTCTTTTTTTTGCTTCTTCTTGGTGGAGAAACCAAGTTGGTTCCAACTGAAAAGAAGAGAAGAGAAAATATCATGAGAATGGAGTAGCGTGTTACGTTCCACAACTACACCCCCAACTTATATATAAAAGCACAAACTACAAGAATACCCTCAAACTAAAAATAAAGCATAACTAATGATAACTAACACTTCACCTCAAGTTGATGCATAGATATCTCATGCCCAACTTGAAAACAATATGATGAAAAATCTTGCTCCTAAGTCTCTTGGTGAAAACATCGGTCAATTGGTTCTTTGATTTCACAAAAGGCATACAAATCAAACCCTTTTCAACTTTTCTTGGATAAAGTGTCGGTCAATCTCAATATGTTTGGTTCTATCATGTTGAATTGAATTATGAGCAATATTGATAATAGCCTAATTACCACAGTACAACCTCATAGGCCCATCTTCATGAATTCTAAGCTCTTCAATAAGGTCTTAAGCCACATAAGCTTACAAATTCCACGAGTCATTGCTTTATTTAGCATCAACACTAGACCTTACTACCACTACTTCTACTTGTTTTTTACGTCACCAAGAAACAAGGTTTCTTCCTATCAAGTAGCCCGAAGCAATGTTACCTAGATCGTGGGTCGCTTTAGTACATAGTACCGATACGGGTATATGATACAACACTTTCTTAGGTACACGATACGATGGGGGTAGATTTAGCTAGTACGGTATTTTGAGTCGTAATTCGTTTTAGAACTTTTATAGTTGTGCTTGATTTTCTATTATCTAAAACAATATATAATTATAAATCTATATCTATGTAGTCAATTAATATATATTTTATATTTGTGCTACGTGTTTTAAAGCGAATTGATTTAGGATTAGTATTACAATTTGGGATCGTCCACTTTGTTAATCTAGATCGCAAACCCACTCCGTTTGGGATCAATATAACCAAATCGTGGGTCGTCAGGGGTTGAGTGANAATTAGTATTACAATTTGGGATCGTCCACTTTGTTAATCTAGATCGCGAACCCACTCCGTTTGGGATCAATATAACCAAATCGTGGGTCGTCAGGGGTTGAGTGAATTGTGGTAATCATGGCCCGAAGTAGATCGTCTGTCATCTACAAAACCTCTACATCAGTAAATACTTCTAACTTCAAGTGACCATGTTTAGAGAGGATAATCAATTTTCCTGGATCTGACCTGGAATACCTCAAAATGCGATAAACAGCTTCAAGATGAGAGGTTTGAGGATCATGCATGAACTGACTGATAACACCCACTGCATAAGCAATATTGGATGAGTATGATATTGATATATCAATCTCCCCACTAATTTCTTATACATTTCCTTATTAACTACATCACCAACTCCATTACTCAATCAATAATTAACTTCAATGAGAGAATATGTAAGTCTACACCCCAACATGTCCGTTTCTTCCAAAAGGTTAAGAACATACTTTCTCGAGAAGTTGAAAATGTCTTTATCTGATCTAATAACCTCAATCCCAAGAAAATATCTCAATGGACCCAAGTCTTTAATTTCAATCTTCGTAGTCAACTAGGCTTTAAGTGTGGTGGTTGTCTGCACATCGTTCCCATGTATTACTATGTCATACACACTGCAGTCTTGGGGTCAAGTTTTTGCCCCGAAGGATCTATAATCATATACAAAATAAATACACCCAAAGACCTTAGGAGGAAGGGAAAAAATTAAAGGAATGGAATAAATCCCAGAAAGACACTCAATAGGAGACTTTAGCGGTAGAAAAGGCGAGGGAAGACGATTAGGTAAGCAATAATAAGATTAGTATCTCCCCAAAAAGATTTAAGAACATTCATAGTGAACATCAACGAACGAGCAACCTCAAAAAGGTGAATTTTTTTGCTCAAAAATACCATTTTGTTATGGGGTAAGCACAACGAGGTTTGATAAAGAATGCCATTCTCATTAGGATAGGAACGGAATTCTCCATCTATGTACTCAGTCCCATTATTATTCCGAAAGATTTTAACTTCAACATCGAACTGGGTACTCCTAATTTTATAAAAAGATCTAACGCAAGAGAAAAGTTCACTTTTAGTACGGAGTAGGTAAACCCAAATAAGACAAGAATAACAATCAATAAAAATGACAAACAAATGATATCCAGAAGTAGACACAGTACGGGAAAGTCCCCACACTTCAGAGTGAATAATGACAAAGGGAGCAGGGCTTTTATTATTGGTATTAGGATAAGATGAACGTTTGTGCCTTGCAAGTTCGCAAGCATCACAAACAAAGGTATGCCTAGTACATTGCTTCACTAGACTAGAGAAAAGTTTATCCAAGACACTAAATGAAGGATGCCCCAATGTCTATGCCACTGATCATGCAACAAATATATGTATATATATAAAGACCTACGGAACTTTAAAAAACTACACTACCTAAGAGCACTATGCTTGCAGTTTTTAGATATTATGAAAATCGAGGCCACACTTCACTCATCCAACAACTGATGTTAGCATTCACCACAAGGAAAATTACCCACAAAACAAAACAAAACAACTCCACAATGGAAGAAAATAGCCCACCCTAGAGTACCAATATTTATACTTCACAAAGGAATCTACAAAGAAACCCCCTCCACGTCATGCAACAAAAACATGTTGATAAAGGGATTGAGAAGCAGCTCAATCATATTACTTCTTAAATAAAAGGGCTTAGATATTCAAAGAAATCTCACTTGATTTCAGACCACATAGCAACCTCTAGCCGGAGGTGAAATGCCGAATGCTTGTTCCATTATCTCTCTTCCAACGAAATACCAAAAAGTTGGAAACAACAATTTCATGGATAGGAAAGCAGGGTAAATGGTGTACCACCTTAAAGCCCAAGGTTTCAGGTCAAGAACCAATTGACCAACCAATCGAAAGAGAAACCCTCATAGAACAATCCATCATCAAGTTCTAAATGAGATCTACAAGCCCAGACAGCTTCAAACAAAACCAGTTCAAGGACATCATCTTCTACATTCTGCAATTTATTGTTCCTCTTAGCAGGACAATCCTTGTGAAATAAAATGTCTACCTCAAACGGGAAAGAGTAAAAACTACACTTGACACCCATCGCACCTTTATCAACCAGGACAAGGGATAATACCCATGTCTGATACCACCAATTAGGGAGAATATTCTTTGTTGATAATCTTTTTCCATTTCGTGTCTAAGTTAAAAAGCAACTTTGAAATGCAACAAAAATTATTACACCAAACAAATTACCCATATGTTTACAACTTTTAACCCTTTCAATTGGAAGAATTACTAATGCATTCAGCACAGATGCATTAAAACTGTCATGATAAAGGGGAGAAGTTTATAACACATGGAACCATAATAGACTTACCGTGAGAGGCCATCCTTTCAATGTCAAATTGTTACCACCTTGATTTGATCCTATAACAAAAAAGGACGTTGTCAGTTACAAGTATGAATATATCTATAAATCAAAATCAACAATACGAGTATAGCCACGAAATTCAAATTTTCCGCGGTCTTATCCACCAAATAATTATAAAGAGGACACAAGCTCATTAGAATATAGAGCAGGATAAAGCTAAGAATACCTGGAATTCCAATTAGTGATCCTTCAGGACCTGTGATTCTAGGGTTCATAATCGGATTTATCTCCGTCTTTATGTCCTGTGCCCAAAAATATTTATAAAAGCAAACACAGAATAAAAGTAGTAACATGACAACTTGTATAATTATTTATGATGAAATTTTTGGTGAAAATACTGACAGGTGTAGGCCCTGGAAGTTGCTGGTTCCGAGCTTGAACTTGCGGGGACATACCACCAGCTGTACCATGCAGAACTTGCCTGAAAATAAAGAGTTTTAAATGCTGACAAAAACCATTAGATGTGCCAATTAAACCTTTCGTTGAGATTAAAGTCAATAGAACATTCCAAGGATGTAAAAATATCTCAATTTGTCTCCATGGATGAGAAGGCATAAAGTTAAAAACACCACATAATAATTGTGGAAAGATGGCCATCGATAGAACTACGAAAAACAGAGCACGTCATTAATTGTCTCTTGGAATTCTAGAAACAATCCCATACAAATTGACTCAATTTGAAGTTCCGAGTACCATAAAAAAATATCATTTAGAAGGCTACATACAGCAAAATCTTTGTATTTTCCCTTTTTTTGCTTATTTTCCTCCCTTTCTGGATGCCAAGTGACATATTTAACAATACATAACATAACAGATTCATTCAATGCTATACATGCTTCACAAGGGAAAAACATTATGTAAAACTGACTAAAAAGGTGGATAAAACAATACCCTGAAGGCTGGCCAGCTGCAGCAGCTGACTTCAGTATTGACACATGATTTGGATCCAAAAGCTGGCCAACATTCTCGCCAAACCTTTGCTATAAGAGGAAAAAACAAATCTATAAATTAAAGAGTTTAAATGTTGGAAGAATTTATGTTCACAAAACCCATGTGACGAATACCTTCAAAGCTGCATCATCCAAAGAATCCCTCTGCATTGGCAGCTTCAATCTTTCTTCATACATCTTTGTAGCCAAGGCATTAGCAGTTCCAGGGTTCTGCCTCATTAGAGGGTCATTTCCAACAAGCCCATTAGCTGATCCATTTAAGAGGTGGGCACCGTCTCTTCGCTGCTGCTGCTGTTGCTGTTGTTGCTGTTGTTGCTGCTGTTGCTGTTGTTGTTGCTGTTGCTGCTGTTGTTGTTGCTGCTGCTGCTGCTGCTGTTGCTGCTGAGCATGCCTCTGCAATAAGAGCTGCTGCATCTGCAGTTGCTGCTGTTGTGCTGGGTGCTGTGGTTGTTGAGGTTGCTGCTGTTGTTGCTGCTCCCTCGCTTTAATTAACTGAGTCTGCAAGTTTCAAATCTATGTCATATATTCTGGTATCTGCAAAACAACTAAGGAAAACTCCTATAAAAACCTGAGGCTTCTACTGTCAATTTAACATAAATTAGCATTCATGCGAACATTTTAACACAAGGAAACTCTAATATAACAAAAAATAGATTCTAAATGATTCACAATATAGAAACTTTCTGGGATCTGTTCAACTAGGAAGAACAAATTCCCCTTTCATGAATAGTTTTTCATTCAGCGAACTAGGAAATCCGGCTCAACCATTGACACATCATACAATGTCTGAACAGATCAGTGCACAACGAAACCCTGGATCTTTCTAACATAAAGAAAAGCACAACCATTATGATGAGAACTAGACTAGAACCATTAACTGATTAACAGTGTGGGCTCTCGGATTGAGTCACATGGCAGACATACAATCATCAAAGATCTCTCTGCACATCGAAGCACAGCCAGGTTATCAATTGTTTAAATATGAAGCAATAACAAAGAGAGCATATTTATCCATCTGCAAAATCTCTAATGTAGCACAAAAAGGGGCATTGCACCAAAAGTGGAGTTTCGGAAAACATAATCCACACTACAAGGCACGCACTACAACTCTTTTTTTTTCCATTTTTTTGCGAAACTCTCATCGATTAAAGGGCGTCAGCAGCATGACAAAAATATAGTTAACAGAAACAACAAACTAAAACATACCAAAACTCAACAAAGTAGCACCGGCAGTAGAAATCAGAATTATGGACAGAAAAGTTATTATAAATCACCAGCATTAGTTCCAGAAATGCCACATTTTGTATCACTAGGCAGAAGTGAGGTACATTCAGCTTAGAAGTACTGTAATCAGGGGCAGAAGGGGGGGGGGCAATGCCCACCCTCAATTTTTTAATGCTCTTAACATTGTCTACATGTTCTGGATACATATTTCATTATGCCCTCCCTATTATTTTCTTATTAGATCAATTGATATAAACTCATATCTAAATGACTATTAGCTTTTGGACACGCATTGAACATTTTCAGATAAGTTTTGAGCATATTGGGATGATTTTATAAATTTGAGAAAGTTGTGCAAGGTCAATTTTGTAAGTAATCAAAAAAAAAAGTTAGAACACAAAATTATAAAATCACTTTCAAGTTAACAAAATCCATATATAGATCTGTTTGTCCAATCATGGTATGACCGATTGAGCAAGAGAGGAGAAGTGAACAACACCCATACAACTTTTAGTAACAATTCGACCCTCCAACAACCATACTTCTTTTCATTGAGATGCGCCTTTTCTTGATTTGAGGTTCGAATAATTAGTGACAATACTCTAAGTTAGCGAATTTCCTTTATTTGACCAGCTTGACAATTATTATATTGATATGTGATTTATCATTGAGTTTTCAAAATTTTCTAGCAATTGGTGTTTTTGCTAAAAGAAAATTACCAGAGTTTGATATTGATTTTATCAGTTTTGGTACAGAGAGACCATTTTCAACTATGAAGATTGTGAACATGTAGTCGCGTAACCAAATTTGTGATAAATAGTAGTTGATAGAATGATTGTACAGATAGTGAAATTGATAATGAAATTATCATTCAATGCTTTTAAAGTACAAAAATTTATTGAGGGTCAATTGTAAATGCCTAAACCTAATATTATTTTGGTTAAAGGTCATAATTAGTCTTTTTGTTGTTTTTTTTCTTTATACACCTTATGTATATCAGTTCTTGATGCTTAAATATTTAATACATTTCTAAGTATCCACTATATATTTAGCCATTGAGATAAAAAAAAAAAAACTCGTTAAAGTGCCCACCCTATATGAATTCCTAGCTCCACCCCAGTCTGTAATTCCATAACAAACCTTCAGAATTCAAGCTACGTGTTGTGCAACTATTTCCAGTGAATTAGGGAATTCGCTAATAGGGTGAAGCACAACTGAAATCACAAGGGAAAAATGTTTCATGCATTCTTTCAAGCCATTGTAAGCAGCAATCAAAAATTAGTAAGAGTATTTTCTGCAAGTACAACTAACAAATAAAGAATTAAAGCTAGAAGCAAAAGAAATTTCAGAGTGCTAGCTGCAGGGGTGATCCTTTCCATGAAGGATGGAGATAGATTAAAAAATTATAAAACAAAAAAGAAGTCTACTTAAAATGTAAAGCACTCGTGTTACAAAACTATGGTGCAATGGAATCATATAAGATTTTGGTAGTCTTGAAGTGCCACATTATATATTGTTTCTAAATTTATAAAGTCTGTCACATTACAGACTTGATCAACAAACACAACGAAGAAGAATGGATGCAGATAATTCTAAATTCTCAAACCAACCTCAATGTAAGATGCAGCAACTTCCGAGTGTTTCTCATTAGTCCTAGCAATAAAAATATCCCAAAACACTGNACGAAGAAGAATGGATGCAGATAATTCTAAATTCTCAAACCAACCTCAATGTAAGATACAGCAACTTCCGAGTGTTTCTCATTAGTCCTAGCAATAAAAATATCCCAAAACACTGACCACCATTCGAAGAGAAAACCACCGGGAGCATCAATGGCTGAAACACCCAAGTCCAAAATTTCAACAACAATCACCAAACTAAAACCATAACTTAAGAAGGACTTTTTTCCCCTCCTCTTAAGATGAGTTGTAAATAATCTCACCGACAGGGTCCGAAGATACTTTTCCTTCAGCTTGAAAAGCCTGGGCAGAAGCCTTCAAGTCCCTCTTCACTAAATAATCATGGATGTACACATCCAGCCTATTTGTTCAAAATGACAATAACATATAAAGCCAAAAAATTGGGAAATTGTCAAAGACCAGAACATATGAAGCTTAAAAAATGTGGACACAACAAATGTATAACCCAACGACAACACCACCAAAAATGAGCGGGTAAAAAACCCTCAAAATGAACTGATGCCAATACTCAAAACTCAAAAGACCCATAAAACGTATTACCAAAAATCCAATAACCAAAGTAATGAAAAAATAGACTTAGAACAAACCGCCATAAGAAAATAACAACAGAACAGAACCAACTCAGAAACACCCATAAAACACAACTCCAGATGGAACAATCTGCGGACACTTGACAAAAAATCTGATATATCACAAACCTACAACCTGAGAACTGCTTGAAGCACAAACCCCAGAATACCCCTAAAAGATACAAAAGAAAGCTTACATTTTATCAGCTTCCCAGTTAGTCTGAGACATGCTGCTCAATCCAATACCCCAGACAGATTAGTGAGTAGCAATGTCAGATCCTAAAATAATGATTTCACCGGCTTCTTCCTCCTAAGCCTCTGAACTATGTCACACCCAAAAAAGATAAGCATACAATCTCAAAGTAAGTATAATAAAGATAATCAAAACAACTAAAAGACCCAAATACACAAATGAGGATACAGTGTAAAAATATTAGGGAAGAGAGAGAAAGAGGAAAAGGATGGTAGATACATACCCGTTTGAAGGAATAGAAGCACAGGCTTCAATCCTGCCAAAGTTACAGAATATGAGTACAGTATTTTCTTCTCTAGATTATATAGTATAAAGTACAAAACTTTTCTCAATGACTGAAAGTTGGATAGAATGCCTACAAACCCAAACGAATAAAAAAGAATAAATTCTTTTGTATGTGTGCTTTTCAACAGATTTTTTTTTTTTTTTTTAATTCTGAATTTTCTTATAGATTTGGTGGATTGAGGGTTCTTGTTGCAGAGGCCATCATTTTGGCTCTGTGGGCAAAGTTTACAATTGAAGCCCATGGATCTTTTCGAATATACAATTGAAGCCCCTGGATCTTGTCTAATTTTCATTCCAAGACCATAACACCAACTTTTTATATGACTTGACATGCCCTTATCATTTTACTTTATCTCTCCAGTCTCTGGTTTACAGAATGTGAGATTCTATATTAGGCATGGACTGATATGTCCTTTTATGTTTTTTGATAATTTAAACTTTTTTTTTTTGCAGTATGGTACTATTGCTTTGATTTATTTGCTGAAAAACCCTTGCTTTTTGTTTCTCTTTTTTCTAGATCTTCTTAATCTCACCCTTTTAGTCTAACCCTGATCCAAGTTGTTTGTTTGTTAATTAAATCTACAAATTGACACTTTTGCCCTTGGATGTCAAAATAGTAATAAAATTTTGCTTTCAGCCTAAGGTGGTGTCTGATTGAGTTTGAAAGATAAAATTAAATGTTGAATGTAAATTTTTTAATTTGTAGACGGTTTAATATCTAATAAAATTTAAGTATTGAATTGAATCAAATTATTCGATAAATATAAGGAGTTGAAATGTGAAAATTATTAATATTTTAATTTTGACATTCTTTTTAACTATCTTATTCCTATTTACTACCATGCGGTGGCAGTGGCGATAGTTAGAAATGATATTGGACGGGGGGCGGGGGGACGAGTCTCCATTTCCGTACCCACTTTAAAAATATTTTTCCACCCCTATTAGCAAAGGAAATTTTAATCCATGTTCTCGTACGCGGATAAATTTTGATCCCCATCTCTGTCATTGTTCCCGTCCATAACAATTAATTTTCATGATTTTAAGAAAAAAAAATTGAAAAAAATAATAAAAAAATCTCACAAATGATTATGCGAGACGAATGAAACTCCATTATATATATAAATAAGTGGGTGAGAGGGCGGGTGGATTTTGTGTCTTTGTAATATTATATATATAAAAATATATATATTACGAGTTTAGTGGGGCATGGCGGAGATAAGTTTTAGTCTATTCTCGCTCCATCCTCGCATAGGTTTATATGAATATCCTCGTATAAATTCACTATNTCATCTTTGTCATTGTTCCCGTCCATAACAATTAATTTTCATGATTTTAAGAAAAAAAATTGAAAAAAATAATAAAAAAATCTCACAAATGATTATGCGAGAAGAATGAAACTCCATTATATATATAAATAAGTGGGTGAGAGGGCGGGTGGATTTTGTGTCTTTGTAATATTATATATATAAAAATATATATATTACGAGTTTAGTGGGGCATGGCGGAGATAAGTTTTAGTCTATTCTCGCTCCATCCTCGCATAGGTTTATATGAATATCCTCGTATAAATTCACTATCCAATATGTATGGTTCACTATCAAATAAAACGAGACTGATTTGAACGAATATCCATTTTTTCTCAATCCACTGTCATCCCTAGTGGCAGTGATGGTGGTGGTGGCAGTAAAGGAGGTGCTGATGGTGGTGATGATAGTGGCACAATAATGGTGTTAGCGGTGGTGACAACGATACAATGGTGGTGGCGATGGTAGCACAATGGTAGTGTTGAATGATAGATATTGAAAAATTAAGTGTGTAAAATACATTAATGATATATTTGTTAATTATTAGGAATTTATAAGATCTTTACAAGTGATAAGTAGGTGATTTACTACTTAAATTTTTAGCCTATTTTTAAGAAGTACTTAAGATATTAAGTGATATGAATTTTAAGTTACNCCGCTCCATCCTCGCATAGGTTTATATGAGTATTCTCGTATAAATCCACTGTCCAATATGTATGGTTCATTATCAGATAAAACGAGACTGATTTGAACGAATATCCATTGTCATCCCTAGTGACAGTGATGGTGGTGGTGGCAGTAAAGGAGGTGATGATGGTGGTGATGATAGCGGCACAATAATGGTGTTAGCGGTAGTGACAACGACACAATGGTGGCGGCGATGGTAGCACAATGGTAGTGTTGAATGGTAGATATTGAAAAATTAAGTGTGTAAAATACATTAATGGTATATTTGTTAATTATTAGGAATTTATAAGATCTTTACAAGTGATAAGTAGGTGATTTACTACTTAAACTTTTAGCCTATTTTTAAGAAGTACTTAAGATATTAAGTGATATGAATTTTAAGTTACTAAACGAGTTTAATTCATTAAAGTGTTTAAAATATTCATTTTTAAACCTTAAGTGGTATTATCAAACAATACCTTAATTAATGAGGCCAAGACAATTTTTTACATCCCTTAAAAGAAAAAGAGACAATCCTTTAGGGTAAGGTACGAAGAATTTATTCATTGTAAATACCGTAATTTCGGTGTAGACGATTTGTTTTTAACTGGATTTAAGAGAAAATTAGTCGAGATGTGTGTAAATTAAATCAAACATNCGTATTATCAAACAATACCTTAATTAATGAGGTCAAGACAATTTTTTACATCCCTTAAAAGAAAAAGAGATAATCCTTTAGGGTAAGGTACGAAGAATTTATTCATTGTAAATACCGTAATTTCGGTGTAGACGATATATTTTTAACTGGATTTAAGAGAAAATTAGTCGAGATGTGTGTAAATTAAATCAAACATCATTAACTGTTGAAAAAAAAAAGACCTATGTAAACCCCATTAAACTGAAGATCATTATCAAAACTATATAAGAACATAGTTGGTAGGATGATTCCAACTTCCCACTAAATTTGTTGAACTTTATTAATCAATTTGTTTTTTTTCTTCTAAAAAAATAATTCAAACAATATTATTTTTGAATTCACGTCTCCGTCACAAATTTTAAATACACTCAATCATCGATTAATATATGCATTGGTTTACTTGGTTTTTTATATGACTAGAAAACTCAAACCTTTAAACAAAAACATGTGAGGGTATAAGTCTAACCACATATTCAACCGTTGAACCTATTTGTATGTTGCCGGTTGGTTTACTTGTAGGAATTTGCCATCGATTTCAAAAAAGAAATAGTAATGACCTTAATGAATCAGTCCAAATTCTTGGAATTGTATACTTCCACTATGGGTAGTTTCGTCTTTTTGTCCAACCAATGAAACAAACAACGTAGGGGTCAAATCGTGAAGCTTCCTCAGTCTATTCTATGCAATCTAATTGTACTATGGACCAATGAATGAAAGTGCTTTCGTGGCTTTAGAGATTGAATAAGGATTTGACTCCGACACTAAAAGAGGTGGAAGGGGTCAGCCACCGGATCTAAGTATATCTTCTAAATTCGTTCGGTATTTAATATCTAAGTTTGATAAAATAATGGGTACAAATTTAAATAATTTATAACTAAAAAAAAAATTATAGTTTAAAAAATTATTTGTTTTGTCTTTTTTTTTTTTAAAGATACAACATGAATTTTGTAAATAAAAATTACGTTAACCGAAGTCAAATTGGAAGATCAAATATAATAATATATGCTATTTGTTTAAAATAAAAAAAATATAATTAAAAATTAATTTAACTGATAAAATGATTTTTCTCTAAATAGATATAAAAATAGAAATGTATACAAGTTGGGTGGTGTTAAAACAAATGAGATATTACAAGATATTTTAGATAAATAGTATTATGTTTAAATAAAAAAATTTAGTAAGACAACTATAGTTGATTAATTTCAAATAGTACACTACTTCTACTTATTCTATTTTACAGTTATTCTATGCATTATAAACAAATTAATAAAAAAATGGTCTCAAATTTAACTTATAAAAATGTAAAATCATTATTCATGTTTATTATATGATAAAAAATTGATTTTAATAAAAATATTGCAAAGTGATAATATATACAATATAAACATCGGGTGAGATAAAAAAATAGGTTGAACTCTAGAGCCCTGATTTTTTTTGGAAAGAGGTTCTAAAAATTTTACGATAATACTACTTGTACTTGATTTGAGGACCAAATACATTAGATAAATAATGTATTTTATTTAAAGTTTATACTCTCTACTAATTCAATTATTAAAATATATTGAATATTTAAATTATATCACAATATCTAGATTGCATATCATTGTATAAAAATTTATTTTAAAACCCTAATTTTTCATCCAATTTAGGGGCTCTAGGCAATGGTCTTAGAGGCCTAGAGGTTGGGCAGAGACACTGAGTGGGAATAGACCCACCCTTTATAAATTTTGAGTTAAAATATAAATTTTTAGGATTTGTTTATAATTAAAAAAAAATAGAATCAAACCTAAAATATGAGGATATAATTTAAAAAATTTAAAATTTTTTGGGTTATATTATAGTTTTATTTTATTAGAATCAATCCTAAAATATGAGGATTGAATCTAAAAATGTAAAAAATAAATTTGGTCATGTTAAAGTTTTTAAGATTCAAGTTATAATTTTTTGAAGTGAAGTTATATTTTTTTAAATATATGAGATCGATTCAAAATTATAAGGATCGNGATAGTACACTACTTCTACTTATTCTATTTTACAGTCATTCTATGCATTATAAACAAATTAATAAAAAAATGGCCTCAAATTTAACTTATAAAAATGTAAAATCATTATTCATGTTTATTATATGATAAAAAATTGATTTTAATAAAAAGATTGCAAAGTGATAATATATATAATATAAACATCGGGTGAGATAAAAAAATAGGTTGAACTCTAGAGCCCTGATGTTTTTTGGAAAGAGGTTCTAAAAATTTTACGATAATGCTATTTGTACTTGATTTGAGGACCAAATACATTAGATAAATAATGTATTTTATTTAAAGTTTATACTCTCTACTAATTCAATTATTAAAATATATTGAATATTTAAATTATATCACAATATCTAGATTGTATATCATTGTATAAAAATTTAGTTTAAAACCCAAATTTTTCATCCAATTTAGGGGCTCTAGGCAATGGTCCTAGAGGCCTAGAGGTTGGGCAGAGACACTGAGTGGGAATAGACCCACCCTTTATAAATTTTGAGTTAACATATAAATTTTTAGGATTTGTTTATAATTAAAAAAAAAAA